CTGTGGAGATACTGATACTACATCAGCATCATGTGGCAATTAATGAATAATGTGCAGTGAGAAATGCTAAGCAAACACATTATATATATTCAACTGCATAGATTCCTTAATTTTGTCTGGGTTTTTTGTATAAAATGTGCTGTTGTACAAACAGCAGCTTTGGAAAAAATATAATTACGCTTCAGAATCAGTATTTAAATTTACACTAAGCTTGATATGACCCAGTTAGATGCTTCCAGATTGATTGAGCTTTATTCGTTAAGGAAGAACACCACTGTGTGCTCTCAGGGTTTGAAAATGCAGCTTTTATTCATAGATTGGTCACTTGAAGGAAAACAAAAGTTGCATCTGCTTTGGAAGGCAGCATGAAAGGGGAGGAGTGTATAAGTGGAAGGGGCTCCTATTTTTAACCCAGGCTTCCTGATGGCAGACATTGTCTCCATAGAAACCAAGACATAGAAAATGGTTTAGGAATCATGTATATGTGTGTGTTTTACTACAAATCTTTGTTGCGTCCTATGCAGGACATTGCATAATGTTATGTGCATTTCATATTTTCCAGCACGTTGGGATTAACCTGAGGTTGAATTCTATTATAAGCCAAACAGGAAAAAAACAAACTTGGATTAAGGACATGATATAGGGCTTTCCTCTGTGTCTAAAAATATTTCTGTTTCATAACCTGTAACTAGAATGTTCCAGATTAGGTTTTACGGAGGGGGATTCTTGGCCTGGTGCTTTGCTTCCCACACAGAGTCTTAGCCTATTTTGCTAAACGTAGCGTCTTCCTCTGACATGAGGAAACCCATGGAGATCACTGTGCAGCTCAATCCCCCATCATCATTTATTAAAGCTTAAATCTGAACACTTCCCTCCACTAATACTCCACCACATTCTTTTCATAGTATTTGACTATTCATGGCTCTATCTGTTTATACAGTCAGCCTGGGCTATATTTGGTTGTTCACCCTGATTCGAGAAGTCGAGAAAATTTAGCGCTTCCTCTGAACACACTGGCCTTCAAATTCATAGAACCTTTCAGTCTATAAAAGACATATTAAGTATCAATTCCTCCAAATGTTTTCACCAGAGAAACATAGATGCCCTTTAAGAGTTAACATCAACTAGCAAACAAGTTTTTTTTCCCCCAAGTCTTCAGCTAATATTGAAGTAAACAAGGGTTTATCGAATCCAAACAGAAGGAATAAACCTCAAAATTTTTGTCACAAGGATTTAAAACAAAAGTTTATAGAGGGCTGTTTACATTTTCATGACGTCTTAAAACTTAGTCCAGCAGTTGACCAAAAAAACATATTGGCAGCAGAAACATCAGCCACAGACTCACGGATAATGTTAAGGGAAATAATGGCACCAGGCTGTTTAGCAGAAAGGCTTCTCAACATGGAGATTTACAGGCATGATTCTGCTAAATGCCTTTGTTTTTTAAAACCAAAAAGGTAAACATTCTTCTCATAGATTTATGGTCTTCATGCCAGAGAATCACACCTTGTCCTGTGTGTTTGTTTGTCTATCAGGGCTCTGACAGCGAGCTGAAGGTAGAGAAAGATGGAGTCTCAGACAACGAGTCCAAGGTGGACTCGGGAGTCCCAGAGGTCCCTGTGCCTCCTGATGACACCCCAGAGGTCCTAAACAAGGCGCTGTCTGGACTCTCATCAAGGTACACTCAACGTTGGAGAAAATTACTTTTCCATGCTGTACTGGGTGTGCTCTGTATACTTTATGTTTAAAAGTCTCACACTTATTTAGGAGACTAATAAGTAAAAAAAAAAACAAACAAAAAAAACATTTAAGTTCTGTGGAAACTTAATAAATGTTTAATAAATGTGTATATCTGTTTAAAACCTGAATGAATAGATCAGCTGAGACAAACATGTCTGTTTTATTTTGTTTTTTTTCCGGCAGGTGGAAGAACTGGTGGGTCAGAGGCATCTTAACACTAGCCATGATCTCCTTCTTCTTCTTTATCATCTACCTGGGCCCCATGGTGCTCATGATGATTGTGAGTACAAACAGATGCTTCAAATGGAAGTTCTTGAGTCAAAAAAAATCAAAAACAGGAGAGGTAATATTCTTAGAAATACTCTTGTTTTCTTCAAACATTATTTGTAAAGCAGCACAATGAAGAACTAGAATTTTAACCCGCTGGAGTCTCAATCAGAGTCTTGCCTATATGAAGCTAACCTGCTGCACAACACAACGTTAGCGATATGACTACTAAGTACTTCTAAACCACTCGGTGGAATGAAACTGTCAAAATATTCTAAACCCAGACCAAAAGATCACAGTTAAGAGTTTCTAAGAGTTACAGTTCCTTGTAGGAGGCATCACAGTAGCTGCATTTCCATTAACCATCAAACTGAGCAAATTGTAATTACAAAAACAATTTTGCGAAAATGGAAACACTGCAATTTTGGAGAAACTCATGTTTTTCGCTAAGTTTTAACGCTTCAATGGGATGGTTGTTTTTGGATGGTTGTTTTTGGTTACAATGAAATTCTTACATTTTGCCAAACTGCATCAGAAACACTTTTTCGCCTTATTTCGAGTCACACAATCTGCAACTGGACTTTGATGCCTTGGAAAAGACAAAGAAGGGGTCTGGGAGTAGTTGGAGGCTGATAAGGAGACGAAATATTTTTTCACATTTAGTTCACGGTGACGAGCGCGGTAAGCGCTAGAGCCATGGCTGAAGTACAGATATAACTCAGGTTATTACCTCCACCACTGCCATGTTGTCTTGAGGGGAACTAATGCCTGTTGCATCTCTTTTAATCACTTGAAATCACAGATATTTTCTTTCTCTTGATTTATATGTGAGAACAGATCCAGTGTGTTTTGGAGGTGAGGCTGTGATGCAGTCCCTTTGGTAGGAATAAGAGTCGACTATGAAGTTCGCTGCTCTCACTGTAGCAGTTTCTACTGAAGGTCTCTTCCTGTTGAAAGCTAGTTTTTCTGAATAAATCTAGACAAAATTGCATTTACTCGTACTTGCAGCTAAAAACTAAAATAGTATTTAATTGGTTATGTAGTCATATGGCAAATGTTATGTCTTGCATTCGGACACTTTCTGCAGTAAAGGGAACCATTCCTTTCCACTTGCAAAGTAGGAAACGTTGCTGCAAAGTCGACAACTTCATGCAGATTCAAAGACTCAGACTTTCTGTAATGAATAGTTTGAATCGAATTAGACTGTTTCATATTTGATCCATTTTATTTGTGTTGAATCTAATCACAGTTCAATACAGCTATGATCTCAGCTCAAACTTGTAAATCATTCATCATCTTTTGTCTCATGCAGTGCGCTAAATGTATTGCTTCACCCCCAACACTCAGCCATTCTGTAAAAACACACATGGACAGCTGATGATCTCTTAAACTTTCTCTAGCAAGTAGAATTTGGATGTTTAATCCTTTGCTTCCTTGCTCGGTGTTAAACCACGTTTAAGACGTCCTGCTTTGTGTGATAATTTAATGTAATTTCTTTATTGATTCTTGATTATGGTCTTGTGTGTTTTTCTATTTAAAGTTAAACTTTAGTAAGATAATGTAACAAGAAACCTGAAACGGTACCATCTGTAACAACATGCTTCCTGCTTTAGCTCTTCTTTGGAAGTTTTCTTAACGTAAACATTTTGAAGTGAATTTTCATGTGACCTCTAAGGTGATGCTCTCTCTGTGCAGGTCCTTTGTGTTCAGATCAAATGTTTCCATGAAATCATCACCATTGGGTACAGCGTGTACCACTCCTACGACCTTCCCTGGTTCAGGACGCTGAGCTGGTGAGGAGTCCATCTTGTATCACTGATACGACTAAATGAAAAATAAGCTACTCTGGTTCTCATCTTGTTGTTTAATGTTCATTTTGTTGCAGATTTCCTCAGGTTTGGTTTCTGGCTTCTTGTAGTTTGCTTTTTAGATTTATTTCCTGATATCAGTAATACTAGCAGACTGTGAATCATCAGTTTACTTTTAGCTGTAGTAGTGCACTGTAGTGACAATCAGCCTCTTTCCCACTCAATTAGCGGGTAAGTGGGTTTTTTCAACACGGGTTGACCGATTAACCATCCGCACTTGGCTCCCTTCCCATTGGCAAAAAAAGCCGGGTCAAATGCTCGCAGGCTGCCTTGTCTCTGTCCTGCCCCCACTGCTGTGTGTCTGGTGACACCATCATGATGGGTTAGTGTTGATGATGTCACCAGTGCGGCAGAAATTAGAAAAGTAAAAAGTGGAGAGCAACATGGAAGGGTGCTAGCGTCCAGTAAGTGCTCTTTTTTTCCTTTATTGTATCGTTCTTTGGTCCCCCTGAAAAGGCTCTCAGCGTTCTGCGGCATGTTTATCAAATATAACCAGACTTGTTTTTTTGAATTTGTTTTTCGTGTCCTGTTTTGCCAATAAAGCTCTGGGATTAGATGTCCCAGAGCTGGATGATAGCCCAACAGATTTGCTTTCACAAGAACACTATCCTGACTGTTGCCTTAAGGTTCCGCTTCTGGGAACTTTATCGAAAATAATTTTGGGAGTAAAATCATTTACTCAGAAAGAGAGGTGAGAAAGAAAGAGGAGATACGAACTAAGGGGACAGAGAGAGAAAAAAAGAGTGCAAGAAAAAAGAGAAAATTAAACAAAACGGCAAAACTAGACAAAAGAGGACATGTACACTCCTAGAAGTCTGCTTCCACACCAGTATGAGATGAAAGGAACAGAAAACAGAAAGAATAACGGCAAAAAGAAGACAACAGACAACCAAAGTTAACATAAAGAAAAAGCTTCAAAAGCAGCGGGTATCCCTTAAATATCCATGTGTGCAGAAGACAAAAACCTGTGATGATTACTGCTGTATGCAGATCGGAGCCGAGCTGTTTAAAGGCGACATTAACCCGGGTCATTCGCCAAGTTCTTTAACATGGGTCACTGAGCCATTCCCACTACTATAAAAGACGTTTTTTTTCCCCCCAGGTTTAAACGGGTTTTTCAGCCAGTGGGAAAGGGGCGTTATTAACGCCACAAGCCTGAAAAAAACTCTGCAAAAAATGAAAGCTATAGCAGACTACATATGTGAACTCTTGTCTGATTAGCTGGCCTCCAGAGGGTTCCATATCTAAATTTACTTTAACTTTCTGCCCTACAGGTACTTCCTGCTGTGTGTGAACTACTTCTTCTATGGTGAGACGGTGACGGATTACTTCTTTACACTGGTGCAGAGAGAAGAGCCGCTTCGCATTCTCAGCAAATACCATCGCTTCATCTCCTTTGCGCTCTACCTCACAGGTAGGTGCATCCAGAGGAGAGGCTAAAAGAGATACATGTCCATGTTAAAGTTTTCCTTCAAGAGGTTCTATTACATAATTCTTGGTAATACTGCAAAATCTAGAGGCCGACACTGTGATATCAAATCAATCAATGAGCCTTTCAAGAAAAAAAAACAAGCGATTTAAACTCACCAGTAAGTGCCTGATTACACCTGGCAGAAAACTTAATACCACAGGTTAAAATATGTTTTTGTTTCTGCATGGAGTTTGCATGTTCTCCCTGAGCATACGGGGGTTCTCTCTGGGTACTCCGGCTTCCTCCCACAGTCCAAAAACATAATTGTTAGGTTAATGGGCTTCTTTAAATTCTCCTTAGGTTGATTGAGTGTGTGAATGGTTGTTTGTCTCGATGTTGCTCTGGGACAGACCGGCGACCTGTCCAGGATGTACCCCTCCTCTCTCTGCTGGAGATAGGCACCAGCATCCCTCGCAACCCCGCTTGGAATAAGCGTGACAGAAAATGGATGGATTATTCAGATTATTTTGTTGATTAGTTGACTTATCAAATGATTATTTTGTATTAATTACAAATTTAGAAAATGTATTAGTACATTACAACTATCATTTTAAGACCAATTTGACCTCAATCAACATGCAAGCTAAAAACAAGAAAATGACTGAGTAATCATAGTAAAATGCTGAATTAAAAAACGTTTGTGTTAGAAAAGTAAAACTAAGTTTGTTATGTAATGCATGATTTTCTGAACCTCGGTGGATCTTGGCCATTGTTGTTTTTTTTCTGTGGGCTAGGTTGTTTAAGAAGCTCATGCTTAACAGCGGCGCTGCTTTGATTTGCTTGTTCAACTGTACACAGCCTAAAATTCTGTGACTTTGTGGCTTTGTTTTCTGCGAAATGCTCCGCTACCTTTAATTTGTGGTCTCGCTTTCCCGCCAACTGCAGGTCGGTCCCGCCTTGTTGCTGTTCCTCCTTTTCTTTTACAAAACTGCTATCCTCTGTCCATTGCATCTGCTGCTCCCTTTGGGAGAAGATAATACAGGAAAACACCTCTCTAAAGTTGCTGTTGCAACAGTCAGATTGCTGGCCAAGAAAAATGACTGTTACACTCTTTATATGTAAAATATATGATGGTGATTCTTTAACAAATTTATTTTAACATTTTTTATTGTTGAAATTATCAATAATGTTGACTAATATTGAGAGACATTATTATAAAGTGGAAGGATAATGACTTCTGATCCAAATCTGAAAAGAGAGGTATGCCTTTAATTAATTGCACAAAGTAAACTTTAAGTAAAATTGTCCCAATGGAATAAGACTTTTTTTTTTTTTTTAAATAAGAAAAAATATCAATTCACTTATAAAAATGCAGTATGAATAATCATTTAATTTTAGGGGCCAAATTACTATTTTGAGCCCTGCTCCTATGAAGGGAAAATACTTCATTTCAAGAGATGGCTGATGAAAATTAAGAATGTGAAGATATGAGCGATGGTGGACCATGGTTGTTTCTGTCACTGTTCAAACTGTCATGTCTGCTTCCTGAGCTGCAGAATGTCAGTTAGTAACTCAGCAGTACTACAGTTTCCTAAAGGCACCGCACACAGGATGTGGGGAGGAAGGAAGGAAGCACCCTGACCCTTTTTTTCTTCCTATGTCTAAGTGTGACGGTAAAACTGAAGGCCCCGGCTGTCTCCTATGACTTGAAGCAGAGAACTTCTAACCTAACCCTCCGTTCTTCTTCTTCTAAGCTTTTAAATGAGTCTAGATGGGAAGTTTCTTCTCACAAATTTAGCCTTCACTATCATTACCTTGATCTATTTTTAGATCCAGTGAATGCTGCTGTTTGTCCGTCTTTGCTTTCTGGCTTCCTGTTCCGACATCAGTCATGGAAAACAAAAGCTGAGGTCCTACTGCTTCTGCAGCACAGTGCCTTGAAATAGGTCAGGCTAAATTTAGCTGGAATTCAGTTTAAACACAGGTGATCTTGTCTGTGAATGATTAAATCTCAGCCAGTGAACCCGTGGTAATTTATTTTCTCATACATGGCTCTGCTCCTGTAGGTTTCTGCATGTTTGTGCTGAGTTTGGTGAAGAAACATTACCGTCTTCAGTTCTACATGGTGAGTGGCTGCCTCGCCTCCTTCCTGCCATCCTCCCTGATTACTGTTATTGAGGAGACCAGCTGTTCTGAACAAATAAACAGAAGCAGAAGAATGATTTCAGCCCTAGTTAGTCCAAAAATGTTGACCAGAAGCTGGTATATTTTGTTGTGAAATAACATTCATATAGTTTTACATTAATGAAATTTAAGCTAGTAACACTAGGAATGTATGAATAATATTGAGCTTGTATGAATCCATCCCAAGCGCCACAGTTCGGTCCAGATTCTGGTTTTCAGAGCTGCCTCTGTTCTCTCCACAGTTTGGTTGGACCCATGTGACTCTGCTAATTGTAGTGACCCAGTCCCACCTCATCATTCACAACCTGTTTGAGGGGATGATCTGGTGAGTCCTTCACTCTGTTCTGATACACTGTAGATGGAGCTAAAAGCTAGCGCCACTGCATGCCGTCTCAGCCAATTTACAAACTCATCTCATTTTTTTTCTCCCCCACTGTAAGGTTATATCTCTGAAACCTAATTAAGATGATACATTCTCTGCTTTTCTTTAAATAGGTTCATCGTTCCCATTTCCTGTGTGATCTGCAACGACATCATGGCCTACATGTTTGGCTTTTTCTTCGGCCGCACCCCACTCATTAAGGTTGTAAAGAAACATTAGTAATGAAGAATGTTGATCTTTTGCATTTTTTTCTGTGTTTCAGTCAAAAACAAGTAGTTGCACTAGAATCGACTGAAATGTCTGATTTGTATCTGTTGCAGCTATCCCCTAAGAAGACCTGGGAAGGGTTTATTGGTGGCTTATTTGCCACCATTGTCTTTGGCATCATGGTAAGACATGTTTTTAATGAAATAGAACAGAGTCGTCCTTTTTGAAGATCATGTTTGTTGGATAAATTCAGCGGGTCCTTATGCTCCTTTCAGCTGTCCTACGTCATGGCTGGATGCCGCTATTTCGTTTGTCCTGTGGAGTTTAACAACGATTCCAACAGTTTCCAGGTGGACTGTGAGCCTTCGGAGCTGTTTCAGCTCCAGGAATATACTCTGCCAGGAGTCCTGGAGTCTGTCACTGGATGGGTATGACCTATGATCTCCTCGTCTATCATTCTTAAAACAAGCAACACAAAGTTGTTACAAACATGTCCAGTTTTTATCCTCCTTTTACAAATCTACCTTGGAATAGAAGAAAATCCATTTATTGTCCCTCAATGGGGAAATTGTGGTACTTTTATCAATAATTGACTCCATTGAGCAAAGTTAAATCTTAAATTCATAAAGTTATTTTTATCTCAACCACACATCGGTTTTCAGTGCTTCATATTTCTATGGCCATAGTGTTGACACTTGTTGAACAGTTGGGGGCTTGGTAATGTCAGGAGCAGTTAACAGTGAAGGGACGTCAACAAACATTTGATCAGGTTTCCATATAGCTGGGTGCTCATGTTATATATTTGTAGGTCATGACGGGCAAACTGATGCCAATCTGGTTAATGCTGAAACCTGCCTGACATCCAAGCAAATCATGAGGTCAGCCAGGACAGACGGCATCGAGACATGGTCATAGCTTTTCAAACTTACACCTGTTCTGCAGGCTGACTGGAACTGATTGCTGTGTTGGAGCTCCAACTCTGAGTTTTTTTTTTATAATAGTGAGCAAACCTGAGGTGAACAATGCAGGATTTCCTGAAAAGTAGCCAATCACAGGCAGGTTACGACCTCCGGTAGGTCAGGCTTTCAAAGTGACAACACTTAAAATAAGCGAACAGAAACGGGAGGAGGGAACCAGCGCAGGCATGGAAATCAAACCACATTTCCACACAGAAGGAACAAACACATGTGGGTGTGTTGTTCTTGTGTCATCCAGCACACAAATGCTGCTGTACTGCTGGTACAAATCTTTGCAACTTAATAAGTTCTGTTTAGATTGATTGATTGATTGATTGACCTTATTGATCTCACAGTGGAGAAATTTACTCAGTAAATCAGTTTAAATAATCAAAGGAGGAGAAGAAGGTACATGTGATGTATACAGTGCGTCCACAAATGACAGCTTTTTTTAAAATATATATATATATATATATATATATATATATATATATATATATATATATATATATATATTTATGTAGTAGGATTTTTATACAGTATTATTGCCTATCAGGTTTACATGGGTATTTATATATTTTATTTATGCAAGTGTGTAAAATATGTGTCGTCTTGTCTCCACAGACCACAGTCCGTCTTTATCCATTCCAGATCCACAGCATCGCTCTCTCCTCCTTCGCCTCCATTGTGGGACCCTTTGGTGGCTTTTTTGCCAGCGGCTTCAAGAGAGCGTTTAAGATCAAGGTAGGAAGGAGACCTCAAAGACACCAGGAAGCTTTCAGCATCTAAACAGACCACCTCATAAATGTTGGTTTGATTTTTTTCCTCGTCAGGACTTTGCCAACACTATCCCAGGACATGGAGGCATTATGGATAGATTTGACTGCCAGTACCTAATGGCTACATTCGTTAATGTCTACATTGCCAGCTTCATCAGGTAAACCCTCACGCCAGTATAAATGCTTTCTAACTACTTAAAGTGTTGAACACACCTCATATCCAGAGAAGTTGAAAAATGTCTGAAAACACAGTGAAGTGCTGATGCTTTCACTTTCAATCCTTGGCAGCTCATCGTTTTAAGATGTTAAACCAGTTTTTGGTGTACAGATGCACATATGTATGAGGGTTAATTGGACCTAGTTGCTCACTATTTTTTTAAATATTGCTGTAGTTCATTAAGGTGTAGACATTTGTTTGCAGTTTTCTTTCCTCTGCACTGTGGGACACCATTGTTCTTTAAATTTTTCTGATTCAGATTTGTTGTTTAGTTTCGGCTAAGCAACTTAAATCCTCTCATGATGCAGCTGACAATCAGATGGACTCACATTTGACTATAATCCTTCGCTGTACAAAAGAGGTCTGGGTTGATTTAAATTTGCAGGGAGGTGCTGTGGCTTCAAAACAAGCCCAGTTCCTCACACCTCTACCACCGTGCTTGACAGTTTGGGTAAGATAATTGTCCTATGCTGTGGGTTTCCACCAAGTCTGACTTTTTTGTTGTTATTTTGGTCGAACAGATTTACTGTTGTCTCTGTCCAAAAGAGGAAGGTGCATTTTCTTTTTGGAGGGAAATGACTTCCTACCTGCTGATATTCATCACAAGCAATTCATCTGCTCTTGTACATTTTAGCAGTTAGCATGCTAAGTGAGGCCTGTTAGTTTCTTGAATTTGCAAACTCTGACTGCGAGATAGATTTGCTGGTGAATCCGATCCTGGTTAAGATTTTACAGCTTTCTAAAATGATTCAATGTTAAAGGAACAATGAGTTCTTGGTTATCATGAGCTGATATCGCCTCACCTGTCAAATCCACTGGCTTTATAATGGCTGTAACTTATTTTTTCTACAAACTAATTCTTTTTTTTATTTATTTGTTTTTTGTGTATTTTGTCAGAATAATTATTGATCTTGTTTTTTTGTTGTTGTTACAATGTAGTAAAAATCCAAACGTGCATAGTCTGGCCTTACATGTGAAATCATAGAGCTGATGGAGGGTGCGTTTACTTTCTTTGTAAAACTCTGATCTGATGAGAAACTTTTATTGTCCCCTTTTCTTGGAGGACTGCAGATAAGAACAAACATTTCTATCAGTGTTCTGAATAATTTGATAAATAAACTGCCATAAGAATAACAAATTAATAACTAATAAACAGAATCCCAGTTTACCGAAAACATAGATGAGCAGCAAATACAGTGAAATTCTTGAGGTTATTGATCAGAATAAAAAAAAAAAAACTCTGCATTTCTCCTTTATCAGCCATTTTTATTTTCACTATTATTACTAATATTTACTTATCTTTCCACCTGTTTTTTGCACCTACTGCTGATCAGCATAAAGGATAATGCACTAATTGGACTGTGCCTGCTGTTTGGCACATTTCGTGTTAAATGGCTGTATGTACATAGCTCCTTTTCAAGAACAAAGCACCTTACACTAGATTCATTCATTTCTCCCATTCATGCACACTCTCACACACTGATTCATGAAACAATTTTTGCTCGGCCATTTATTAGATCAGCTTTACAGGTGCTATCGAGTTTGCATGTTTTTTTTATACAGACAAGTCCTAAGTAGATCAGGGAAGCTAATGTGAAAATTAAGCTAATTTCTTTAAGCTCCAGAACAATAACAATAACAGCAATGTCTTTCTTAGTATTTAAGAGGAAAGACTCTGATTAAGGGTTGTTTAACATTTAATTAATTTACTTTTTAACAAGAAAAAACCCTCAAGCATCCTTTTGTTTGGATTGATAATGACAATTAGATATTGGCCTTAGAAGAGACTTCACACTGTGTGGAAAAGAGAGCCGTCTGTGCTACACACTTCAGCAGTTAAACAAGATTAGTGAAGATTTCTAAACATAGGTGACATTTGTAGAAATTTAAGGTGCTCTCCTCTAAATGTCAAAGTTATTTACGGTACTTAGTGTCTGTTAGCCAAGCTAGCTTTCAATTATTTGTACCTCTCTGCTCCAAACACTGTTAATACATTCAAGGTTTGTTTTTTTAGTGCTTAGCAAAGCAGCGTTGATGCACACTACATGCCCACAAGTCTGTCTGTTAACTCTACTGCCTGTTCTTAATCTATTAGGTAAAATCTCCCAGAATAGTAACTTTGGGTTTGGGGTTTATAGTTGGTTAAAAAAAAAGGAATTGCAGCTTCCACTCTGATTTATTCCAAAGGTGTTTTATGACGTTAAATTCAGGAAGGTTGCATTTCTTCATATAAAACTTTTTACACATGGAAGTGATTGGAACATCCGAATGACCTTAGGTAGTATCAGGTCAAACCAGACCCTCAGTTCCACATTTGGGTAAGTTTTGTGGTGAATGGAACTGGATCGCTTCAGTAAATCAGTTAAAATTATTTACCTCTACTGACGTAATTCAAGGGGTAATTCTGACGCCACAGAACGTCTGGAATCTTTTCCAAAAGATTTTAAATCTATTCATGCTTCTTCTGACCCCATTTTAAACACATCACTGAAACTTTTTCAGATGAATGCTGTTGCTACTGGCAACTGTTCAAACATATTTATTAAAAGCTCTCTGATTTCTTTTATTCAGTTTTATTTATTTTTTCTTCAGTACATTTTGTACCCTGATTATTCATCTTTGCTGTATATTTGACATGTTGACATTTCCCAGTAAAGAAAAGGCCCCTCGCCTCCTTTAGGTTTATCTTTGATTCATGTTTTGTTTCCTCTTAGGGGCCCCAACCCCAGCAAGGTGATCCAGCAGCTCCTGGCCCTCCGACCAGACCAGCAGCTCTACATCTTCAACTCCCTGAAGGCTCATCTGACAGAGAAAGGCTTGCTGCCAGCTGTGGAGGCTTAGATCCCCGGCCCCCCACAGAGAGCAGCACTCGGGGTGAGGGGCTCCGGGGTCCTTCAACCCTCTGCGCTCTCACAGAATCAGTTTATTTATGAGCGAGGAAAACCGAGAAAAAAACGTTCAGCTTTGGTTCATTCCAGTTGGATTTGTTTGGAGCGTTTTGTGTTTCTGTGTCTGTCTGCTTGGTGAATCCTGTTCCGGACCCCCGTGTTTCCAGATTTACTGGGTGTGTTACTGCTCAGTCCCTCATTACCAGTACAGCCCAGTTATTGTTTTTCTGATTTCAGCAACACTGTTAAACTAAATTTTGGTTGGATGTACATTTCTACTCGTTTACGCTGTATCTTCAAAAATGTTGGTTCAGGTGTGTTCATGTTTTATTGTATGCTGTTTTTCTTTTTGTTTTGTTTTTTATCTAAAGCTGTTAACACACTGTAATCTTACCGCAGCGTCACCCTCCCACATTATTCTGGTTTTTCACTTTTTTTGTTTGTGATGCTATTTATACAGAGATGGTTTTATATTTCTTATGTTCTAGTGAATCTTAACGCTGTCTGTTGTGTTCAGGCGGTTATGCACATTTTTGTGTCCGTTCGTTTCAGAAGCTCTAATACTCGGCCAATTTATCACCGTTACATCATCAATTAGTGCCGTGAATTTAATTTAAACATTTGAGTCAGATAAATGCCTGAACAGCCTTCTGTGAGCAGATTGAGTTCACCAAAAAATCCGTCTGAAGGCTAGCAACCGACCTCTCACCTGTTTCATAGTGTCCGTCATTCCTCCTAGTATTATTTTAGTGCAGCTGACTTACTGTTTGATCAGATGGGCGGGATGGTAAATGATTCCTGCACTGCCATTGCTTTTCATGTTGATGGTCCTGCAGCTTCATGAAGGTCGTACACTGAACCGCTGTAGTAATGTTGGACCCGGGCATATCTGTTCATGTTGCACTTTTGCCAATACCGTTAAATGTTTTTGTGCGTAAAATTGTTCATTCCTCAAGATTTAAGGTTTTGTTTTTATTCCAAGTGTGATTTGGTAGTAAAGCATAAGCTTAAGCTTTTGTGGTGTTTTTTTTTTTTTATTCTGGTTTAAAGATGTTCACCGTTGTGTTAATTTTTTTAATGATTGATGCTGATATTCCACTCCGTGTGTTTATGCAGTTGTTTTTATTATATATATATCTATATATATAGATATATATAGATATATATATAAAATTTAGTTCTTACCTGAGTTCTTTCAATGTTTCTGGCCTTTTAATGTCTGCTCAGTAGTAGAGCTGCCCTAAGATGCTGATGTTAGCCATTAGCCAACTGATTATTTAGCATTCTGCTACCTGGAATCACGTAAAGCTGTTAATTTGAGAAATATTCCCCTTGAATATTTATCTAATTTCCAAAAATCAGACATTTGGGGAATGAAAGCATTCATAGGCTGAGAGGTTTATTACCCTCAGAGTTCGCTTGTCTCTGAGACTGAATGGAACTGATTGCTCCAGCAGCCGACTCCTCTGACCGCCCTGTGGGTCCGACTGTAGCCGCTGTATTGATAACAGGCTGTGGTGCAAGGAATTTAAAAATGGTTTCTTTTTGGATAAGCACAGCAACACTTTGGGGCGAAATCCATCCGCCTTTTTAAAAATATCAGCTTAATATTATCAGCCAGTCATTTATTGCCTTTCCTATGATTTCTGAAACTTTTAACATAGTTTTTGTTGTTTTTTATTTACATTTTTTTTTTCACTTTTTCCATTTGGATTTTTTTTTTCTATCAGAATTTTACAAACTTTCTAAGATGGTGAAATTTTCAAACACTTCTTAACTTAAACCAGTGAAGAGCTTATGAAAATATTTGCTAATTTCTAATTAATTTCTCAGCTGGGTATTTTTTATAGCCTTTCCTTTGCTTTGTGGACTCGACAGAGTCTGAATAGTATCTGCAGCCATAAACTCAATTTCCTCAAAACTTCAACATTTATTTCACTAAAATAAATATCCTGAGTCAACATTAAGAACAGCAAAACATTTTCCATGAAAAGTTTGAATACTTTGTGATGGAAATACAGCAAAACTTAAATGTTGGTCTAGTTTGGACATCAGTTGAGACTTGTGGCCCAAAAGATGTGTTTACAAAAATAACCTTCAAGAGCAGGAGCTAAAAGAATAGAGTCAATTCTGTTCATACTTCTATGGAAAAGCATTTTTACCCTGTTTTTATTGTTGTTCATCCTATAAACCCGTCTATTCTTGGCTTTAATCTAAGAAAATATTCATTATAGTTTTTCAACATTTTCTGTTACCTTAATCTGCTTCTCTGGGATTATTTGTCATGTAAAGTTTACAGCATCAGTGCTTTAGATAAAGATTAGGTTCAAAGTCTCACGTCCAACTTATTTATCAACCTTCCTTTGTTGTTTTTGTGTCCTTTTTGTTTTTGTTGGGTGATGGCAGGCGAGACTTAATCCTTCTAACTTAAACCAGGTGATTTCTGTTGACATGCGTTAGTGTAGCAGGTAGGCAAAGGTTGGCGGAGTAAATCAGAACTTTATACAATAAACCATCTTCTATTTCATCTGTTTCAGTATATTACCCAGACCTTATCTTTCCCCACAGTTTCAATGTATTACATCATTCCTCAGGAGTTAAACTACTTATTTATTGAATATTTAACTCTGTTGTAGTTCTGAGACATAACTAGGTGTTTCTTTAGTATTTCTGTCAAAGAAAATATTCCTTATTGCTATGTGAGAAGACAGTGTTAAAGTAGGTAAGGAGTTTCTTCGCTCTAACTGTGCTGCTGTTATTAGGCTCCTGTCCTGTTTGCAGCTCGGCTACTTGTTGCTTATTGTTTAAGGAGTTTCCACCTAAGTCATGCGACTGAAAGCACTTGTTGTTTTATTTGAAGCCTCCACGGCTCTGCAGTGGTTGTATGTTCTGTTTACTTTAGGCTCTGCAGCTCAGCACTGCCCTTTCACTGCCTGGTGTTGTGATTTGCCACTAGAGGGGGCCTGAGCTCCTTTGCTCAGCCTGTTGACTGTGACATTGAGACTGCACCTCAGCTGAGGTATTTGGCCCTTTGTTACTTCTGCATAGAACAATCCCCTCAATGAAAGAGCTGATTTACCAGAGAAACTGTCTTTTCGGTTCTTCCTTGTGGCACCACTGACCTGTCGTGCACTGTGTTTTTGCCAAGAGCGTCTCAGAAGAATGTATGGGAGTTATGTCTGTCCCTTGTGTTGTGCAGGCTCTCCTATGTGAACTTTTTTGGTTTTAAACTCTATTATACGCATAGATTATCTTTTAAATCTGTAAAATTTCTCTATATTCTTTATCTGTGCAATGGCTTGTTAAATTGTACAATATCTAGAGAAAAAAAGCCGTATTTAATGCTGAAATGTGTTTTGGCTATGTTCAGAGAAAAATAAATGTATTTAAAGACATCATGTGGCGTGCTGTTTGCTTCCTTCTCTATTTTACCACCTTCCCCATTTTGAAACATATTCTATTTATTTCCTGGCACCAGTCCCTGTAAAAAGCGTTTGATGATGGAGACCTTTCAGTCAGCAGCGGACTCAGACCTTGACCTTTTAGAGAAGTGAGTGTTGGTGCAGCAGCTGGATGGATTCGTCCCACCGCAGCATGAGTCGTGAGGCAACATGATCACTGAACCAGTCATAAACTAGAGGCATATAACCATTTCCTTTAAGAAGACGCTGGTGGTTTCTTTTTTTTCTTTCTTGACATCAGTGAACATTAGTCACTTGGAGACTGCACTGCGTGACGCCTGTGTACCCTCCAGCGACTCCTCACCATTATTAGGACGGGCACGAACATGGAAGTAGCGGCGACATGAAGGGATGCGTTACAGACAGCTGCCATAAGAAAAAATAGAACAATTAACACACAGGAAACAGGAAGTGTGATCTGTATTATCACAGTTTGTGTGTGTTTGGTGTGTTCGTGTCAGGGAGTGTGTGTTTCAGTAAGGTGCATGTGGGAATCTAGGCACCTACCTGGGCTGTTGGATAATGTCTCTGAAACTACGCAACTGGGACTTCAGCACCTTCAAAGCTGAGACAGCTCGGATAGGTAAGGTGTGGTATGGTGCTCGCTTCGCTGCCTGTAGAGCTTCCTCTCTGCTTTTTATACTGACCTTGTGGTTTAAATTGATGCTGTCATCTAGATATTTGAAAAAAATGTCTTCCCTCTTACAACTCTAATTTGTTCTCTTTAAATTTATGGGATTTGTTACGTAAATGTAATGACTGGTGTGTGTCTCTGTGTGTGAGTGTCTGATTATAGAACAAAATTGACTGCTCCAGTCTGCGTGTGGGGTTCTCATTGTGGGCTTTCCCCGTGGTTAAAAGTTATACGCTGATGATAACCAGATTTGCCCTTAGAACATATTTCTAAAGCACAAATCACTGTTTTGCAGTTTATCTTGTTCGTTTTTACACAGAACACATTAGAGGCTTTGCCATTGGTTCATAATTCACATGTCTTTGTGTTTGCATCACTTATTTCAACGTTACTGAACCTGGTGGCTAGACTTTACCACGCTGTGCTGTTTGTTCAGGGTGGACTGCGTTAGTTCCTCTCATGACATACTGTTGCAACATTCACATCATCAGAGATCTTGAAGCTATCAAGTCTGCACGTCTTTTTGGCTGCTCTGTAATCAGGTTTTACAATCAGCCGAACTGGATGTTCAGCACACTGGAAGGAAGTAGCTGCTTGCATGAGTGTTTGCTATTTTTGTTTCTAAAGTAACTCCCAGTACAAATGCTTACATGGAGCAAAATACTTTTACTTTTGTGAGATATAAATTTCTCAAATCCTCCTTACTCGAGCACGGCTTGAGGTAAGGGGGACTTGAGGATTCCTTAGAAGTTCACTGATGCAGACTCTCAGCAGGAAACTGATGCAATAGCTGAGTTTCTGCAAACATCACAGAGCTCTGCCCACCTGTTTTTATGAGTGTGCTTTTTACTTACTCTTCTTGCCTTTTTAGGACCTTTAAATGATAGCTATTCTACTCAAGGCCAATAGATGCTTTCATCAAGCCCAGCCGGGTAATCAAACAGTTGAACATTTTCTTTACAGTGATGTTAAGATAAGGGTTTGCATGAGGTACCATGAATTAACAGAAATTTAAAATAAATCTTATGAAAATAGAAATGTAAACATTTGTGTGAGTATTATTGCACAATCCATCTGTCAAATATCCCTTCATGAGGATCTGAGAGGTCAAGTTGAGTCCTTGAGAATAATTGTTACGAAAGAAACAACCTGACAGAATTTCCTGATGGTTTCCTCTAGTGCTGCGTGCAATGTTCATTAAATGTTTTGACATTTTGTAAAATGCAATCAAATATTCATGTTTGTAATGGCATGTTGCAAAAGTATTAAACCTTTTTATATTTTATTACGTATTATTATTTACTTCTACAAATATTTGTTTAATTAAGATTTTACAATATGCATACAAATACATTAAACAGAAAAAGGAGCTAGTAATTTTATGGGAGCTGCAGAAATAAACAGCTCAGGTTGAAGAATTTGTCGAGGACAAGGATTAGGTGAGCACCAAGTCACTGTTAAAATAAGCAGTTGGAGGTCCTGTGCCTTATGTTGCTAGAAGCCATACAAAGGGACCTAAAACGGATGTAGAAAATCAGACGATGTTTTGTGGCCTATATACAAAACTCTGTGGTGAAAAAAGTAACACTGAAGTTCTGCCAGAGAGGCTGGTTGTAGCATGATGCTGTGGAGATGGCTGTCTTGTTCAGATACAGAGATGCTGGTCAGAATTGATAGGAATATAGATGCAGCTCATTGGTCAGTATCCCCAGAAGAAAACCTTTTAGAGGCTGCAGAAGTCTGAGGTGAAGGTTTACCTTCCAGCAGGGCAATAATCCTCACATACAGTCACAGCTGCTTAGATGAAAGCACTTCTATCTGCAAAAGTACACATATAAATAAAATGTATTTGTCAACAAAGTTTAGAAATGCATGCTCTTAAAGGATCTCCATCTGATCTGACAGCTCATGAACTATTTCAGAAAAATGCATTTGTTAGAAACATATTTTAAAAGACTTGCAACTGGAATTGCAAATGCAATTTAAGGAGCTGAATATAAACATACGCCAAATATGTGAAATTTTTTGTTAAAAAAAGTTTTTTTTTTCCACTTCACATACATGCTCTAGGTACGTTGATCTGTCACAAAAAAATCCTCTGAATTGAGATGTTGAAAAAGATGAAGGTTGGAAAACACATCTTCACGGCCAGCTCTCTAATAAGGTTAGAACAGTACAGTGTCTGTTAGATATGAACCAATCTGATCAAATCTGCCCCAGTTTCACATCTGAAATTCAACAAATATTTTTTTGTGTTCTTCTTTTCCAAGGATCTCTGGACTTATATTAACTTTTCTATAAGGAAATGTTTGGTAATAGGTTCTTCATTGCATGCAGTGAGCCTAGAAAAAAGGTTTTCATTTCTGTTATATGGCTTTCATCTGATGCTGGAGTAAAAATATTTACCAGAGGTTTGGAAAAGAAATGGACTTATTGAAACAGCTGTGTATTTCAGTCAACATGAATACATTAAACTCATCAAGTACTATAATACCTATGGCAGTTCATTATTACATACATTGTATAGATTTAGATAAATAGAAATTTTTCCCAAGACAGCAATCTCTCTATTCTTACTCCAAAAAGTACTATCAACTGCTGCTTTTGAAGTGTTTTCTTGATGTTCACATTCAGACTGAAGCAAGTCAAGTCAATTGAAATATGCATGTACTCTGAATAAACTGCAGACATGTCACACTGAGAGAGACTGGTTATCAAACTAGGTAATAAATTTGTATTATTGAATTTGGTCAAAATGTCTTTCTATCCAATGAAAGGCAGCAGATTGCATCCAGAATTCCTATTTATTAGACTGTCACTTATATGTTTATATATTTGCAGTCCACCTGAATGCAGACCAGCAAACTGCCCAAAAGGATTGTATAGGTGGCTTCACTGTAGATGAATCAAATATTAATGCCAGGCTGGAAATGTCACACATAAATGCTGTGAAAACAGCAAAATTGAAGGAGCATCTTCTGTTCTGTCCTACATAAGCAGGTGAAATGAGCTTTACTTCTTAGGTTCTGCTACGCCACACTAAAAGGAGTCATTGAAGGCTGTTCAGATTTAAACAGGTTACCTCATCAGGAAATCTCTGGAGGTTTACTGAGCATCTCGCTCTCGCGTTTAAACATTAGCTGGACTGTTCTGCCTGGCTTAGATATTACTGTGGATCTCCCAAATCAACAGGTGAGTTCAGACTTGGTATCCTGGGACTTGATCTCAGTGGTGGATGGATGGATGGATGGATGGATGGATGGATGGATGGACGGACGGACGGATGGACAAACCCCCTCAGGTGGACTGAGTATGGCTGCTGCTTTATGGTCTACATAGTTCTGTAAAGTATCACTTGTTTAAATAGGAGATGTAAGGGAGTGAGGATGCTGCAATGATGGTCTATCTGCCACCATGAATGATTAATCACACATTGGCCCCGGTTAGAAGCCAGGGTGGGGTTTGATACCAGACCTTGCATGTGGGGTCATGGTTCCTCAACAGATGTTTGATCCTGGGAGGGTGGTGCTGCTCAAGTTAGACCAAAGGACTCTCTGGCTTTTAGGCTGAGATCTTCAAAGTTTAGCAAGCCTCCGGCTTGGATGTGACTACTTCCTGTTTACCCCTGACCCGCCCTTCTTCTTCTCTTCTCCTTAGTTATGTTGCTTAGGAAGACACAGTTGATTTGAGAACAACTGAGGCAAAGGGGCTCAGTCTGAATCTAGTTATCTCTGTGCTCCCACCAACCAGGGTGTCATTCAGGCTGTCTTCAAACAATCCTGTCTTCTTCTAGCACGTACAGCACAGCATCTTCTTATTCATTCCTGTCAACCTTCACAAAATAGTCTTTTCTTTTAGGTGGAATCTATCAGAAATGGGGAAATTCCTCAAAGTCAGTCAGAGAAAAGAGCTAATATGTCAACTTTGGTGCAACTAAAGCAAAGTCAAGTATCTGACCTCTCACTTATCGCATGGCTTTTTTTTCGATCACTCTCGTTTCTATAGAGCAATCAAGGCTGTGTTCCTGCAGCTTCAACAGGAAATGGCTCAGCTAACAGCAGCAGTTTCCTCTCAGCTTCAGCTGAACACAAATAGGTTGTAGTCAGCGCTGATACGCTGATGCATATTCATATAGGGAAGAGGAAGTGCTGAGAAGCAGCTGAATGCCCCTGATGTTTTGATAGTATTTCACTGCTCACACTGTTAGAGAGCAAGCTGAAGTGGCTGGTACAGGGGGGTAGCTAATTATACCTTTATCAGCTACTGTCTTGTGGTTTTCAACAGCCCGATCCAAAAGTGTGATTCCTGGAGAGGGGGCCCCTGGATCGAGCTCACCACGCTCCCCCGGATCCATGGAGAGGCCCCTGAAGGCCGGCTGGCTGAAGAAGCAACAGAGGTCCTTGGTGAAGAACTGGCAGCAGCGCTACTTCGTCCTGAGAGGCAGCACTCTGACCTACCACAAAGATGACAAGGAGACCACTGTACAGGTGAGACACAGACGCTTCTCAGCATTTTACAAAAGTAAATCATTAGAACATACTTCTTTCTGGGGAGAGGAGAGTAAATTAAAGATATTTTAAGACTCTACTAGTCATGCATTATTTAGTGTGCAATGTTCAAGGAAAATCAGTTATAGAATATGTCAGTGTAAAGTCAGTTTAATCATACGTGTTGATTTATTTAGATTTATAGGAACTGCATTGTTTTATCTCTTCTAATCAACACCACAAACACTTAGCTCTGTGCCTTAGTTTACTCACTTCCTGCACACAAATTGCTTCAGGCCTTTCAGACACGATTTATCGAACGTGCAACCAGGACATCATTGTGTTTGACTATTAAATATTCGGAAAAGATAAATAGAAACAATCAGTGAGCCTATTTGGACCTTGGCTGTGCCAAATAAATGTCACCAGTAGCTCATTATTTACTGTGAAAGAACTGAAGGTGGTTTGTGTGAAACCACAGTCAATTGAAATAGTTTTAAAAACTACAAGCTCAGTGGTATTAACACGCAGACATGCTGCTCTCTTTAAATAATGTCTACAAACATAAATTGCCCACCATATATGATATTTTGTTAAATTTGTTCTGTCTTCAGTGTTTCCAATCTCTGCTGCTTAAGTCATATTTGATTGAAGATATTTAAATTTAGGAACTAGAGAAAGTGTTAAAAACTGTAAACATCTCTCAGACGTAATGCAGATAAAAGGTGAAGTGGTTTGTTGTTCTAGGAGCTCTGAATAGCACATCTATTCCAACTTTGCTTTTTTTCTGTTTGGTCAACAGGGTGTCATCCAGCTACGATTCAGCAAAGTCAATGAACTCCCACCAAGTTCAGATGACCCTGGAAAGTACCTCTTTGAGATTATACCACGTAAGCATTAATAAACCTCCTAAGGACATGTTTTTGGTCCCACACTAAGAAAAAAGTATTTATGATAACAAATTTAGTTGCCATTGATTGCACTTGTATGAGGAAAAAATGACTGACTTCTCTTAGGTTCGACTGGAGATCGAGAGCGCTGTCCATACGTGCTCATGGCCAACTCCCAAAGTGATTTCGATGATTGGATCCGAGCATTACGCAGAGTCATTGGAGTACCAACGAGTGGAGGTTAGTCGAGTCCTTCTGATTAAACGCTCAGTCATTAACTTAAGCATCTGAGAGACATAGCGTGATTGGTATTTAGATGAGTGTGATTGGACAGAGCTGACACATTTATCACAGGTAACATCCTGGCTTAGAGATAGTGTTTTCAGGCAGTAACCAAAGCCTCTGACGATGAGGACATCAGATTATTTGGTTTATCTGCCAGGCAAATATAAACCCCAGGGTGGAAATGGCCTGACAGTGTGATAGCTAAACACGTGTTGATTGTTTGTTGTTTACTGCATCTCTGTGATTAGGCACAAAATAGTTTTTTACCGAAAGGTGTAATCAAATTTGATCATTATATAGTCTATAACATTTATTTTTGTTTTATTTTTCTTGAATAGACTTGATGATAAAATTATAGAATAAGGACCTAGTATGCTTACGCATGGTTTCTAAGATTCTAACCGAAGTATAAAAACAGGATATCATCGGATTAATAATTCGGCTATCTGCTGAAGTATCCAGCCACCAGTCAGGTGGTGTAACAGACGTTCTATGCAGAGGTTTTACAGGCTTTTTCACTGCCTGCACTGTAGTAAATCTTCTCATTACCTCAGAGGCAGGCAGCATTGCTGTATTTTGTATTTTAAGACTGCAAACAAAATGGTGATTTTTCCTGTAGAACATAACTCCCTGGAATGTTTTAAATTTATTTTCTAGAAATCTTAATCTGTTCTCAGTACTTTACTTATAAATGTGAGAACTTCTCTCAAGCTAGAGTAAAGCTCATTTCTAGCTGGACTAAAATAGGGATTTCAAGAACATTAACCCTTTATAGATACTGTTTTTGATCACTTGCATACTTTTTACAAATGGAGTCCCCTCGTCCCTCAGTGAGGTCTAGAAGCACAAGATCTATATCCAGCCATTTGGCAAAGATACTGCGACATGGCTGTACATCTTATTTTGGCATTTAACCAATTAGATGAGCCCTTGAATGATATATTACTTAATGTAAATTAAGTTGGAAAACAAAAGTGAACAAGTCAAGAAATAATGGTTAAAATCTAATTGAAAAGTTAAAAAGTAAAGTAAAAAGTTAATAAGGTAAAAATTATATTTAGGTTTATAAAAAAAGATGTAAGTGCCAGAATCAGCATTAATGCCTCTAAGGTTATGTTTTAGCAAAAAAATGTGTTTCTTTCACTCAGTGTTTCATGAATTTCTTATTTATTTCTTAATATATTCGGGCAAGTTGGCATTTCTTGTTATAAAATGATATTATTTTTGCCATCAAAATATTCTGAATATATTTTTTGAATGTTACAAAGCTAATAAGGTCTTGCCCTGATTTCCAATAACACTATTGGCTTGAAATTTGGATTTTCAAAGTAATTCACTAAGTGCCCTATAAAGGGTTAAGCAAATCTAACCCCTCATTTTATTCATGGTCGACTCAGATATAAACTTCATATGGTCTTAAGTGTTTATCTATCTAATTTTAGTAACTTTTTAAATAGTAAATTTACTTAAGTAACTTTTATTATATCTGTACTTTACTTGGGTGTTTATTTTCTGAGGAATTTCTACTTTTATTTCCTAAAATAAAATCTGAACAAAAATATCTGTACTTTCTACTCCTTACTTCCTTAGAATAGAATAGAATAAAATAGAATAGAATAGAATAGAATAGAATAGAATAGAATAGAATAGAATAGAATAGAATAGAATAGAATAGAATAGAAAATCCCTTTATTGTCCCATAATGGGGAAATTCTGGTGTTTACAGCTGCAAAAAGATAATAGAAAATATGGTGACTCAAATGTGGACCTTTAAGAAGGCATAAGAATAACATAATAGTGAAGAGTTAAAAAATAAACAATACAATTCTGTACTTTAATGTGTTTCTAACTATATAAATATTGTCTACATATTGATAATAACATGATGTAACAGCTGCTCAAAAACTGAGGGAGAATTCAGAGCTTCATGAGAATTAGTCCAGTTGGAGCCCAGTTTGTTGATGCTGTGAATACCAGAGCTCTAAAAGTATAACTGCTCATGTGGGACTTCAATTTAATTCAGTCTATATCCTCCTGGCAAAAAGTTTCCCTTAGAAAACAACTAGACCAGCTCAGTATAATTTATGTTTTCTCTACCAGAACAGTGAGCAGAAGATGAAAAACATGTTTTTAAGGAATGAGGGTTTTAAACATTTTGTTTTAACATTAAAGGCAAAAGGTTTATTTTATTTCTGTACTAAGTGTAAGTACAAAGTACAGCCTGATTTTTTTTTACTTTTATTTTAGTAAATGAGCTCAGCTGGTACAGTTATAGTTTTTTTTATCTCCACTCCAGCACACCTGATTTAAATAATTGCATTCACTCCTGCTGATAAAAGCAGAGGTCTGTTAGAGACAGGTGTGTGGGGAGTCATCCTAAAACATGCAGGGAACTGACCCCTGAATATCCCCTGTTTTAAACACCTTCAGCCATGGAAGTGATTGCAACAATCAAACCCATTCATTTGGTGGAGGGATGGTAATCTACGTTTTAATTGTAGTTTAGAACAGGGTTTTTTAACCCTTGTCCTCAGGGCCCACTGTCCTACATATTTTAGGTGTTTCCCTCCGTCCAAACACCTGATCGGAATGAAAAGGTGATCAACAGGCTTTTGCAACATTTTATGTCTGCCAATGAGATAATGCAATCATTTGAATTATGTGTGTTTTAGTAGTGGGCCCTGAAAACCAGGGGGTTAAGAAACCCAATTTTAGAAGGTCTGTGGTCTTGAGCTAAACATCAGGCATGTTTCTATGGCAAACACTGCAGCTGTAGCTCCGTGCAACGACTGAAAAATTCGTAGAGTGTATGCCCGGCTTACGGTAAGTGAGACTTCAGTAGCTGTACAGAAGTGTGATATGTTTGAGTCACTTATTCAGAGCCAGCTTAAGCACAAAGCTGCTAAAGCTTGGAATCCCTTGATCATTTATAGCTTTTTCAGTATTTCTTGAATTATCTCAGAAATTATCTGGGAGATATTTTTGATTATTCTAACTGCTTAGCATTTCATTTACTTCAATACTGCATTCTCTAAAAAAATCTATTAAACTGCCAGAGATCTAGCAAGGTCTTTTTTTTTTTTAATGAAATCTATCCATGTGGGTCACGTGGACAATGTCAACAGCAAACCTCAAAGCTTCAGATTTGTTTTTCCTGCTTTTATTGTCATCACACTGTCACAAGTACAGAGCAACGAAATGCACTCTCTGCATTTAACCCTTGGGGTGCAGTGGGCTGCCATTGTGCGGTGCCCAGGGAGCAGTGTGGGGTTAAGGGTCTTTGCTTAGGGGCCCATAGTGGCAGTCCGTGGGAGTGGGGTTTGAACTCAGAACCTCTGGGTTCAAGCGCAATGCCCACTAAGCCGCCACTCCCACTGGATGTCTCTGGAAGAGGTAACAGTAAAACATTTATTTACCACTGAGTAAACTCAATTTGATTTAAATCAATTTATAATTTTTTCCAGTTGGTTTTCTGTTCCAGTGGAAAAGCATCTCTCTCCTCTTTAGAGTTTCCCTTAAAGTGTAAATGGACTATACCTTCACAATGCTTTTCTATTTATAAAGACCACTAAAGCACTTTACCACATTCACCCAATCTCACTCACAAACACATTCATTCACCTATTTACAGAGGTAGGTTGATGACAGGCTAAGACTGGAAATCTGTGATACCAGTGGGCCGGTGCTAATTTCAGCGTGCGAGGGCTGGCCCTCCTTTTATCATTCCGGTTACAAGACTTGCTAAATAACTCAAGGACATTAAGAAGAAAGTACCTAAATGATGCATGCAGTATATATAGCCCTTCCTTGTCATGCACATCCTTGTTACTTAATTATGATAAAACTAAAATGCTTTCTTTAAACCAAACTACGATAATCATCTTATATTTGGTGAATTTGTGTTTGAATATTTTGCAAAAATATGTTTCGGTGCATGATGGGGTTTGCATCTAAAGGCTAACGCTTCCAGTCTTACGTGCATTGTTGCCAGGTTGGGATGTGTCCCAATCTGGCAGTCTAGGATGGGTAAAAAAAATTTTTCTTTAGATTTATGGCCTAAGAGATCATTAGACTTTGGTTCAAAATGGGCAAGATTTCGTATATCCCGGCGTTTTATGAACACTTTTTGGGCTGGAAAACAACCCTGCTGATGTGGTGAATTTGGATGTTATGCTGCAGCAGTCACTGTTGCGTCCGTTTTACTAACCAAAGCCAGTAAAACTGCATCATAGAAGTCTTGATAATGTTTGTCGTGTGATGCTAGAAGATAGATTGATCGGTTAATCCACAATGTGTTTTCGCATTGTGTTTCACATTTAAGACGCAGGCGTTTTACTGTGCTTCTATTGGGGGGTTCCATATGTGGGCCGGCATAGATGGAAAAATGCCAAGGCTGAAAATCATTCCCAGTCCGAGCCTGGTGGATGAATTTGTGAATGTTAATTTCAGTTTAACATAATGAAGCTGGAATTTAACCCACAACTCTTGGGATGACTGAGCCATAGTCGACCCAAGTGTTTTTCTTTCCCTCCGTGAAGACTTATTCACTAGTGTAGCTCTTTTGCCACAGCTGTATGAACTGAATGTGACACTACTTTTCCAGTTAACATTTCAACAGCAAAAACTGCAGACATGTAAACTAAACTAGTTGGCTTTACCAACAGTTTATACCTAAAACACTGCTTAATAAAACAACAGCAGGTGCAGGATTTTCAAACTGTTTCAGTTTCTTTGGCGTGATGATTCAGACTTAGACTTACACAAACTTTGTCATTTTAACGTGACAAAAATGCTTGTTGCATACAGCTTGCAACAGTGTAATGATACAACACTGCAATATCACAACAGTATTGTAATGATATTGCATTTTGGAGTAGATAAACATTACATTTTGGTAAAGTGCAGCAGTGATTAGAATATAACAATGTAGGAGAAAAACAATCCAGTTTAAATAATGGTGCAAAAAGGCATTGAGATGAAAAAGTTCAGTGCAGTGAAAAATAGGTATGGTGCAAAATGCAGTATAACATTGAGTTGTCTTCTATTTAAAAGGATGATAAAAGTACAGCAACATTGGTAATGCATAATAATGAGGTGCAGATTCCAGTTTAGAGTTAAACAGTTCAAAATCTGATGGCAGACAATCAGAAAAAGTTGTTGCAGAATCTGCTGGACCTGCATCCATTGCTGCGAAGCCTCTTCCCAGAGGGCAGCAGGGAGAACAGTCCATAGTGGGGGTGTGAGGGGTCGCTGATGATGTCACGCTCCCTATGGTGCTTATGTAGAAGCTGGTGAGGATGGGTGGGGGCAGGTGGGCTCTCCTCATCCTTTGCAGGAAGTACATGAAATTGTAATTTCTCCTGTGCCTGCTTGCCCTGTGCCCCCATGACATCTACTTATAGATGGGATCCAGTGTAGACACCCTTTATCTAGACTGGACTCATCCAGCAGCTGCTTCACACACTATATCATTAGGAAAGATGTTTTGGTCAAAATAGGTACTAAACGAAAATAATATTTATTTTTTTTTTGTAATTGAAGCACCAGCTTACACCAGTATGAGTAAATACTTTATGATTGTAATTTCTCCTTTCTTCTACAAACTTACTTTTATAAACTGGATGCCTAAAGCAGGTGCAGATAATTACCTCGTTCAGTCCAAATCTGCAAACTGTCTTGTCTGTATGAGTTTGAAATGCAGACAGCTTGTGAACAATAATTTTCCGTGTACAAATCTTATAGTGACAATCAATTCTGAAAGCCTCAGTGGTGAGAAAGCCAAATAAAAATGCCAAAAGCCATCTAATGTAAAGTTATTGACACCGCCCTGGGGTGAATAAAGACTCATAAATACAAACACATATTGTCACAATAAAAGCAGCTGTGTTTGTGGTGTAAGCTTGTCACATTAATGCTATTTAGAGGTTAGTTCTCTTTGTTCTCTTTTCTGTTCTTCTTAGTGTTACATTAAGAGTACAGCTGGATCCATGTTGTGTTGAAATCACACACAGGCTGAAATCTATTGACTGAATGTTTAATTGTCTAAAGTCTGTTGGTGGTTTAGGATTTAGTTAAAAAACATGAGCAAAAAACAGGATCATGAAGACCAAAAACAGACAGGCAGCCAAGTCTTCACAGTAACTGTAACTTCAACACTTTGGTCTGTAAGGAAGTGCAGCAAGTAGAAACCCAAACAAAGTCCTATTTTAGGTTTACTTCAAGCCTTAAAACAGGCAACGACACTGTCTAGGAGATGTTGCTCTCAGAAAAAAATAAAAAATGTACAATTTTGGCTTACTATGGAAACCCCCACACAGCCACCAGTCATTAAACACAGTGGGAACTCTAAAAATGTAGATTTTTTTTTTAAACAAATGGATTGTATAGCAATAATAAAAATAAATGTTTCCTCAGTATGAGATAGATCAATGACTTACATTCTTATTCATTGTTGAATCTCATAAGATCAGGGACTAATATGGAAATGCCGAGATATTTCAGGCCTCTACCTCATGAGTTGGGTTTTCCGTTGGTCATTCTATTCTTCTACAGGCTTCTAGGTTGTCAGACCTCACCAGATGTGGTAAGTGAAAAGGAAGACAGTGTGTGTGGTTAATCACAGTTCATTTTTGATTTAAAGGACAGGCGATAGATTCTTCATAGTTTTGAAACTTCTTTTTTCTCCTAGTCTTTTGAAAAGAAGTGTACATGTTTGAAAAACATTTACACTCATTTTGTTCTTAGATTATTTTGTCTGACATTGTTAGAGGAACTAACATGTCTGATTAAAAATCTAAAGTTAACAAGCATGCAAAGGGGAAATGTACCGGTATACTATATATATATATATACTTCATAGGACTGTAACAAAGTTCCGGTGGCCCACTGAATGCAGGTCATAACATTATAGCAGCAAACTGTCTGCGTTTCTGAGGTTTTGTAATATAAAAACAAAATCCTGTTTTGATCAACACTAACATACTGCTCTAAAGAGTCAAGAATCATCAAATCTTCTGTGTTTCTTCTCCAACAGTTTTTGGAAAGAGTCTCATAGACACATTAACATATGAGCAGCGCTTTGGACCTCACACAGTACCAATCCTGGTGCAGAAGTGTGTGGAGTTCATCACAGAGCATGGGCTGGAAGAGGAGGGAATCTTCCGCCTTCCTGGTCAGGACAACGCAGTCAAACAGTTCAGAGATGCTTTTGATGCAGGAGAAAGGCCGTCCTTCCCAAGGTAATGTACTGACAACAGTAGTATGAAAAACAATATGGGTTGCATGCTTTTAATAATTCCACTGTTTTGCTAATTATACACCAAGCAAAGTAAATCTAAGTTGTAGAAATTCTGCAATGGAAAATCATTTAATAGGTCAAGGTCTGACCTATGTGGAAAATCTACAAGTAAAGAAAGCCACTGCCATAAAAGGAGACATTTCATAAAGCAAAAAACAAACCAAAAAAAAAAGGAGGAAAGAGAGAGAAGTAGAGTGAGACTGAAAGATTTCAGCATTCAATGAGCTGAGGGCGAGACCACATCCTGTTCTAACAAACTCAACATCACAAGCTCCTCTGACAGGGCACTGCACACTAGAACGTTCCTTTGTCCCCAACTTGTTGCCTGTATTCTTATGTATGACAGGTTAAAAGCTGAGGCCAGGCTAAGCAATGAACCAAATTATACTGCTTAAAATATCAAACACATGTATAATCATGAAGATTGGCACTTGTATAACAATAAATAATGTAAAGTAAAAGGTATTAGTTTTTTTTTTTTTACCAGGATTTATAATTATATTGCATATTTTCCCTGTTTATAAAACAAAGCAGAAGCCAAAATGGAGACGCTGTGAATAAAAGTACATAAAAACGCCCCATAACTCATTAGATTTGAGACTCTTATTTCAAGACAAGCCCAAATCATCACCGTCATCATCCTCAACATTATCATGATCATCTCACCACTTGGCATTGCATGTAAGATGTTTTTGCCAATAATTTGGGTTTTGTTTTTTTCTAACTGTGCTCTACTTTGGTTTTAAATGTCAAATGGCCATCCTCCAAGTGGTCTGTGGTTTAACTTTTACTAAGGCCTTTAAAGTCTGTGATGGATTTCGCTATCTTTTATTTTTTTTATTGTCTAGCATTGAGCTGAGTTTGCTTTGAAATACAATCAGATTAGTTTTAATGCCTGATATGAGTCTGATTTGTTAAGAAGCCTTTACACTGTGGAACGATGGGTTTTGGGTCGTATCACTGCCATATAATCTCTTGTTGATAAGTTGTACCAGAGCATTTTTAAAGGGCTGATGCAAATGTATTTTTGTCCACATTTCAAAAAGATTTCCTTTGCTTGGTAAAAAATAAAAACACATACAGCCTTTTCACTTTGACATGACTAAAACCCTTTTTTAATGCAGAGGGGAAAATATGTTTATTTACACCTAAAAGCATGGAACAATCCCTATAACACTGAAGAAAAAAAAAAAATTATTTTATGCTTTTGATCCAGGTTTTATATTAACCATAATGCTTTTAGAAGATGTTAACTGTATAATGTTTCCACAGTGACACAGATGTCCACACGGTGGCGTCGCTGCTCAAACTGTACCTGAGGGAGCTTCCTGAACCTGTGGTACCATGGTCTCAGTATCAAGACTTCTTGGACTGCACTAACCTGTTAGACCCCAGCGGCAGAGAGGTATGCAGTATTACCAAGGAATTTAGCAATATATCTGAGCACACTTTATTTTTAACAGGCTTTGAATCTGTTGGATATGTGTCCCTGCAGGGCTGGGAAAAACTGGAAAAACAAATAGCTCTTCTTCCCAGAGCCAACTACAACATTCTCCGTTATGTCTGTCGGTGAGTGAAACATTGATGCACACACCAAATGGAAAAGAGCATCCTATATTCCCATAGTCTTCACTTACCTGATATTTCTTGCAAATGACATCACCCTGCAACTGAAGGGTTGTTGGTTCAACTCTGTCTCTAGATTTCAGTGGTGTTGTGTTGCTGGGCATAACACTTTGCTTGCGTTGCCTATTGATGGTGATTAGAGGGCTCTGTGTATGGCGTCTGTCAATGAGCCCCGGGGCATTGAATGGGTGAAGGAATGAATGTAGTGTTAAGCACTTTGGTCAATTCTCCTGACTTGAAAAAGCTGTATGAACAGGCTTTTAATCATTTATGTATAGTTGCAAAAACATATGCAGTCTGACTACTGGTATGTTGATCTCTCTAATACTGACTCCCATTGATCTCCATTGTTTCTAACAATTACCGCCCTAACCCTAAAGGAAGCCCAATTCTCCAGCCTAAACCTAGCTTGTGAGGACTGGCCAAAATGTATTGTTCCAGCTCTCACGAAAAAGATATATAAATGTCTGTTAAAAAGATCCAAAAAGTCCAAAATGTCTATTAGATGTAATAATTTTTATTTGAACTGTTGAACAGATACATTTTTATTGTATTTCAGTCACTACCGACTCAAATATTTCCTGGTCATGAATGAGAATAAAAGGAAGACAGAAAAATGGTGTTTGCTCAAATGCAGCACCATCACTGCGCAACTTCATGAGCACACAGGGACGGGCTGCCAGTTTGAGCACCCCTAAAAGGCGGATTTATTCCATGTAAAGGCTCAGAAAGTATAGGACAAAGAATTCAGGCAAGATAGACAGTGGAATAACTTAAAAAGCGTCAATTTAAACTATTTGCTGCAGATCTGCAGTAGCAGTGTTTAGGGCTTCTAGGGCTGTAATGTCTACTGGGGAGAAACACAGGTTAGTGACCATGATAATCTGATGGAGGATGATTGAGAGTCACTAACCTGGTTTGACATTTCAGTCCATGCACAGTGAACATGGCAGACAAGATGCAGAGGACGCTGCTTCCAGGCACTGAAGCCTAGAAGGCTGCAGAACTGGCAGGAGGTCAGACCCAAGCAGACGAAGGAAGGCAGAAAAATCCAGGTCGAGGTTAGAAGGCAGATCCAGGATCAGTCCATAGGAAGAATCCTGCAGATGTCCGAAGAAAGGTCAGGCAAACGGACAGGGCAGACAGGCTCAAAGGTCCGAATACAAAACAGGTCAGGATCAGACAAACATAAGAAACTCTCTACAGCAAAGGCTCAAGAATAATCTAGCACTGGTGGCTGGGACCAAGGAGTTTAAATAGAAGCAGGTGTAGGTGGATCAGGTGAGCAGTGATGAGAAGTAGGGCAGAACTAGACAGGTGATTAAAATGATCAAGCCAGCCATCAGCACCAAAATCATGAAAGTCCAGGCCATTGGTATGTCTCGCTCATTACACTGAGTACCTCCATAAGGCTCCAACAGAGGGGCATGTCTCTTTTTTAAGCACCCTTTAAGAGTCTTTGCTCACAAGAACAGGAACAAAAAGGATTAATCCAGGTTGAAATCAGTTATAAAACCTGAATACTGACTCAGAATGGGATAAATGTAAGTCATGACTAATTACCTATTAATCAAGCATGGCTGGAGGGGTAAGTTTATACTGTAGTAAAAAGCATCACTGTAATTACTGTGAGGAACAGAGAGCAGGGGGACTTTCATCTAAGCTACAGTTATACTTAAAATCTCTGTTTATGATAGAAAACAATAGTCTGTGTGGAATTCCAGCTGGATTTACAATGGGTGTCAAACCGATATCCTGCAACCTTTAGATATTTCCCTGGTCCAATATACTGTACCTTAATTAATTGGCTTATTTACATCCTTAGTAACAGCCAAGTTCTCCAGAGTTCTGCTAATGTCCTAATTAATTGACTAACGTGTGGGTTAAAGTATCAACTCATTTAAAACTTGTAGGACACCACCCTTCAAGACTGGACTTTGACACCTGTGGTTATGTTAAGATGAGAAATAAAAATCTGGGGTTTCATTTTTAAATAATTGCATAAAATCTACACTTAAAATTGTACATACACCAGATGTGAAGATAGATTATGGCCCCTCAAAAATTCAGATTCATAAAATCATGCTCAAGCACAAAACCAAGCAATTTTCCTTTGTTGATCACAGCTCTACCTCAAAGTGTGTATCCGAGGCTCCACCATCTGTTCGTCCCTCTTCACATTCAACCATAATTGGTCCATGCAAGCACTGTATAAATGTCAATGTATTTTGAAAAGAGCCAGCTGATGATTGCCTTTCATGGTTACCACAGCCAAAAGAGCAAAATAAATGCAGTTTAACAGAAGCCGAAATAGATATGTTAGTGAGTCATGTGTAGCCAGACAAATATGTTTGATAGCTGGAGTAGATTAATGGAAGACTTATTAATGAGGATGTCCAAGTCTGATGCGGACTGATCATATTAACAAAGAGACCAAGGCAGCAATGCACTTATCACTGGCGGTGACATCTCAGATTTATGGATAATTCTAGACAATTATTTTGTCCTTAAATGCTATCTTAGACACAATTGGCTTTGTTTAAAATGTGAGTAGTCTCACACCTTCTCATCTTCATACTTTGGACCTTGTGCTGACATAGGGCATTGAATTTGAAGGAATAACAGTATTTCCTCAAACCCCTGTCCCTTTTGATCACAATTTTTTGTAACCGTAAAGTTACATTAACAGCCTTCTCCCCCAAAAAAAGAAGGTTTAACTTTAGCAGATCAATATCATATGATGCAGTTATAAATTTTAAAGAATCTGTTCTACTTTTTATTTCATCTGTATAATTGATGGGCCCAACAGAGGGGAAACATTTAAATTATTCCCCCTCACAAATCGATTATTTTGTAGATGTGGTTACTAGTTTCCTGCTTACTGGACAATGTAGCCCCTTTAAAAATAGAAATACTTTAAAAATAGAAACCTGGCTTTAATGCAGAGCTGGACGCTTGAAAGAAAAATGCTAGGAAACTGGAGAGAAAATGGTGCTCTACTTACCTATGGGAATCCTAACCAGTCTGGAAAAACCCTTAACAGCTGTATAAAATTGAACCATCCATTCCCACTACTCTTAGCAGTAATGTTTTTTATGGGATTCTTTGTAAATAAGATAGATTCTATATAAAAAAAAAAAAAAAAAAGGTCATTGGCATCCCTCTAAAACGTCAACTTGTATGTTAGATCCAGTTCTAGAAATGTTATTTCAGAAAGTTTTCCATCTGATTTCCTCCTCCATTTTAGATGTGATTAACCTATCCCTGTTACAGGGATATATATCTCTGGCTTTTAATGTAGCTATAATTAAATCTTTTCTTAAGAAATCTTAAGAAAGTCTCTTGACCCAGATGACCTGGTCAATTATAAAGCTATATCCGATCTTCCTTTCTTTTCGAAAATTCTTGTGAAAATAGATGATATTTCAATCAAATGTGTGAGCACTTACCATAATGAACGTTTTAACAAGTTTCAATCTGGTTTTAGAGCTCATCATAGCACTGAAACAGCTCTAGTAAAAGTCACTAACAATGGCCTCAGATAATGAACTTTTATTTTTACTTGTCCTGTTAGATCTCGTTGCTGCATTTGACACAGTTGATCATAATATTCTTTTAGAAAGACTTAAATATTTTATAAGAATTAAAGGAACAGCATTAGACTGATTTCAATTGTACCTGTCTGACCAATTTCAGTTTGTTTACGTTAATGATAAATCCTCCTCAAGCTCAAGGGTTACCTGTGGAGTACCACAGGGTTCAGTACTAAGGCCAAATCTGTTATTCAATTATATATGATTAGCCTTCTGGATCTCACTTAATATAGTAATATCTTGGTATCATTTTTGATCAGGAACTGTCGTTCAAATACAAATACATTAATAGAATTCCCTTCTGTCATCTCTGGAATATTGCAAGAATTAGAAATATCCTGTTCAGGGGTGATGCTGAGAAACAAGTGCATGGCAATTCGTTACCCCCTATTGTAATTCACTGCAGCCAGAGTTCCGATTAAAATTAAATAGATTATATTTGAAGAGAAGCTATTCCATGAAGAGAAGCTATCCTAGCTTCTGTTCGTTGGCTTCCTGTGAAGTCCAGAATAACATTTGAAATCCTGTTTCTCACATACAAAGCCTTAAATGGACAAGCTCTGTCTTATATCAGTGAACTGATTGTACCCCATGTTCCTAACTTCACTTTTAAATCTGCAGGTTTACACTGAAAAAAATCAACATTTAAATAAGCAATTTTTTCTTGAAATAAGTGCATTTTGTCTTGAATTGAGGAGGTAAAAGAGACATTTTGTCAATGGAACGAGACAATTTACACTTAAAATAAGAAAACACAATTGCATTGTCTAATTTCAAGTGCCTGTTATCTAATCATCTTATTTTAAGACTAAAAATACTCATTCCATTGGCAAATTATCTCATTTACTTACTCAAATTAAGGGTAAATACACTTAATTTAAGACATTTTTACTTATTTCTAGATCTTTTTTCCAGTGTACTTGTGGTTCCTACATTTCTAAAGAATTTCTAAAAGTAGAATGATAGGCAGATCTTTTACTTATCATGCTCCTCTTCTGTGGAACCAAATACGAGTTTTAGCCCATGAGGCAGACATCCTATCTACTTTTAAGGGTATGCTTAACACTTTCCTTTTTTATAAAACTTATAGTTAGAGTGGTTCAGGTTATTCTGGGCTTTCTCTATGGTTATGCTGCTATTGGCTTAGACTGCTGGAGGACATAGTTTTCATCATTCTGCTTCATTCTATCTCTATTCTCCTTTTTATTTGCTGGTTCAATCTGTAACTTTATGCCCTCTCTGCTGTTCCTCATCATAGTAGCTTTGTCTCGATTTTCCTTTTTTTCCTGGATCGAAATATCAGCTGTGCTGCTGCCATCAACATCTATGTTTACAGATGTTGGAGCTTGGCTTGTTTTTCAGTGTAGTCCTGTTTTTCTTACAGTGACTAACTGTATGTGCTCTCTTTCATCCTTTGACATGGGAGCTGGCTGGTAGCTCGTTTTCCTGCCTCTGTGTTGCCTGAATGACTTATTGCAATCAGCTGGATTTTCCTTGGATAGAAAACTTAGAACAAATCTGAGTGGATGATCTGGTTAAATTATCTCAGTAAAATGCCTTTAGATTATATATGTATATTTGCACTATACATCTATAAATTGAATTGAATTTAATTAAAGTGGATTGAGGCAGAGAGTTAGTCAATACTTGACTATGTTTAACATTTGTGAGCAATTTGATGCTGGTATGAGCTGTCTCTCAAGACCCCCAGAGTGATGAACACCTGTAATTAATTTTTAAAAAGCTGGAAAAATGGGAAAACAGCACAGCTTTATATAAGATTTTATATGGGCTAAATGGTCTTGTTTATGCTGCATCATCTTATATATAGATGTTTCCCCATTAACATGGATTATTTTGAATATTTAAAAAACAGACTGGAGCATGACTTTTTGCATGGATGGGTAATTGGATCAATTTTTCCAGTACTGGACCCCGTTTACCTAGAAAGATCAATTAGCTCACAAACCACTTTTCATATTGAATCAGGAAATTTGACCATTTACAAAGTGTCCAGTATAGGAAAATCATCCATTGTGCAACATTTCAGACTGGTGTTTTAAAGGTATCTGAATATTTAGAGCAAACAGTGTGAATTTCTTACACCAAGTTAAATTTAAACATTGATATGTGGCTTTACTCATCCCATTGGTTATCAGGGAGAGGAATGAGGCACTTTGACTTTGATATAAGCTGCTTATATATCTTATTTGTGTGACAGGTTATCTTAGCACAGCTAGCATTTATCAAACATTTTACATGCAGCTTATGATCCAATGAAGTTGATCTACGATAACAGTTTCAAAGGAAGTGAAATTAAATGTCTGAGAGGAATTATGATATATTTATATTGTATGATATGACATATGGTAATTACATTATATATTATATAATGTAATTAAATTATATGATATATTCACTTCCATACACACACAGTCGTCATCTCTGTCGTCCATTTCCCCTCTCTACAAAATATTTGTATGCTGTAAAGATAGAGAAGGGAAACCATTTTCACGACAATTTAGTTTTTATAGATCACGACGTTTGCCTGGACTTCGGCATATGCAGGTTTCAGGCCTCATTTTGTGTGTACACAAGTTTTAAAAACAACACCCTTCTGCCTTAGTTGAGTGAAAATCAAATCATTTATTCCCTCATGAGCAAAACACATTAAAAGGACCTCAGATCATTACATTGCTGCAGTCAGTTCAGTTATACATTTAGATGGAAAGAAGTGTTGCTTAATGGCCTGGAAAAGGTAAAGTTTAAAAGAGAAAAAACTATAATAAAAAGAAATGTAAAGGATGAGGCTCAACATTATATTCTGAATGCCACAAATAAACGACTTTCTCTAGCCATTGCTTCTTTATTCATTAGTGGAATGAAGAGCTGTAGGGATGGCTATAAAACAGAACAGGTTTAAAAAAGAAGGAACATATTCAAATACTCAACGTTAATCATTTAACTCATAATAAATAAATAAATGTTTGACTAAGATTATAGAAAGTTGAAGTTATCACAGTTTCTGTCTGTGTTTTGTTTGTAAGAATCAGCAAAAAATTAGATAGACGTTGTTCTTTATATTCCCAAAGCTTCATTGTCTCCCTCAGTAAAAACAAAATTTTTTTTTATCAATCGTAAACTCTGTGTTTCCTCAGTCTTTAATTACAGAGGGAAAAAAACAAATATGTGATGTAAACTAATGCAAACCTTGCTTTGTTTGATACACAATACTTAACATTGAAATATAATTTGCAAAAAAAAAAAAAAAATAGCACAGTCAGATTGTTCTCTATTCAAATTTTAAAGAGAAGATGGAGGGATGTTTCACCTTCTTTATCCCCTTCTAGAAGGTGCTGAAAGTCACACCTATTTCGTATTTAGCACCCTAGGGCAGATGCTCCCTTCAGACAAATATGTATATTCGTTATTGAACACTTTAAAATCAGCCTCTGATTCTTTAGCTTTGGATGCCAGGAGACGGACTGCAATAAAATGCCATACCGTCCGGTTCATAGTATTTCAGTATGAACACTGTGAGCCCTGAATCTGTTATATTTGATGCATACATCTGTGGCCATGGAAGTGATTGGAACTCTGGATTTCAAAATAGTGTATATTATAGTTTCTGGCTGTAAAATGAAAAGGTTCTGTGTATATAAGGAGTTCAACAAGGCATTGTACGATCAAGATATTCCTGCTCTGATGTTTGCTGCTGTCTCTTTGTTTTCAGGTTTTTATTTGAGGTGCAGCGACATTCCAATGTGAATAAGATGAATGTGGAAAACCTGGCTACTGTGATGGGAATCAACCTGCTGAAACCTCAGATAGAAGATCCGGCCACTGTTATGAAGGGTGAGACCATCCTAGAACTCATTGGTCTTTGTTATGTACTCCTAAACAGTAGTAGTTTAGGAGTAGTTTAGTTTAGTTTACATAATTTTAGTTTAGTTTAGTTTAGTTTAGTTTAGTTTACATAATTTTAGTTTAGTTTAGTTTTGGAATAGAGATTGTTATTAGCTGCTATTAATAATACAGGATTTGCAAACTCCAAGAATACAATGAAATAAATAAAAAATCCAATTAGTTGGTTTCAATAACATTTCAATAACAAAAGATGAGATGTTGAAACATTACATGATAATTTGCTTCCTCATAAATACTTCTAAGTGCTACAACATGATAAATAAGCTAATCAGGGCAATAATTGCTGTATATCATTGCTACATATAAAAAAGCAAAGAAATTGTCTATAAACAAAAGTACTGCAGCAAATTAAAATAAAAAATTAATATGCATATACATATATAAATAGTCGTGTACTTGCACATACACATCTCAGATCGAATAATTTCAATTGACATAGTTTTGAAAATAACTGACTAATTGTGGTTCTGTATTTCAGTGAATTTTTATTGCTTTGGTTTAAGCTGCTGCAATGACTGGTTCAAATAAATCTGGTCCTTTTGAATAATAAGTTTATTAGAATTTAGAAATTACTTTTTAACATGGTGTCTTTCTATGTATATGTACTGTTAAAATAGACAAACTAAAAGTTAGATTACCAGTGGACTAGTATAATGATTTGGTTAAAGGTTGAAAATTCAATTCAGGTTAGGTTAGGTTAGGTTACCCTTTATAAAAAAAAACACCATAACCATCATTTATAAACTGTAAAGACCCATTTATAAATGGTTTAGATGCAGTTTATAAAGGATTATCAAACATTAATAAAATATCTATCTGTTAATCAATAATTAATGGTCTCTATACCATTTATAAATGATAATTATTGTAAAGTGTAATCTCTAAAAAAATGTATTAATACCAAAAGGAACTTAAATATTGCAATAATTCAAAAGCTGTTTTTTTTTTTTTTTACCAGTTTTTATAGCAGCTGGTGGAAGGAAGGACCTTCTGTGGTGGGGAAAATGGGGGGAAAAACAATGTTCTTTAAGGGTCAAAGAAAACAGTATTTTGAACGGTGACTTTTTATCCTGGTCTTCAGGGACCACTGCCCTACATGTTTCAGATGCCTCTCTATGATTGCATGACCTCCCCAGGAGCCATTGAGTCCAGCAGAGGGCTGTTCTGTATGAGTCATGTTTGTGGCAGAAAGGAGCCTAAACCATGAAGGGCAGGGGGACCTGAAGACCAGGACTTAGAACCTTTAATTTAGAAGATAATCTTTTGCATTTTTTTTCTCTTCACAGCGACTCCTCAGATCCAAAAGATGATGACTGTGATGATTAGACAGCATGAAACCTTGTTTCCTATCTCCAAAGATGTGCATCCAGCATCCCCTTCAAATAAGACTGAAGCTCAGAAAAATGCCCCTCGAAGCTTTGTTGGTTGGGAGTCTGCAGAGGTATGGACTTCAGATATGGGGGGTGTTGGGGGTTGATATATTCTCAGTATATAGGTGTGATTTCCTTGTTATCAAATTCAGTGAGGTTCTGTGTAATGAATTGTAAAGTTTTTTTTTAGCAGAGTTAGGGCTACCTTTGGTAAATTTATATCCGTTTTTTTTTTGTTATTTTATGAAGTTTATTTCAATGGCATCGATTGACCAAATCTTAACATATCATCTCCTGACAGTTTCGAAACAATTCAGTCAAATCATAATGACATATTGGTTAAAAAAATTTTTTTTTACTGTAAGTAAGTAAATCTATCTGATTGCATCTCCTGGATGACCATATAGTGACAGTAGGCAGTTGCTTGCATTGTTTCACTGACCTTGGACCCTGCATGTATGCAGGGAAAGTAGAGAGAAAAAAATATGTCCAGCAGAGCCAGGCTTAGTGAGAGTGACCTTCTGCTGAGGCAGACTTGTGGTTCAGAAAAGATAATGTTGGAAACAAAACAGCTGGAACAATATCATACAATATATGCTTTGATAAAGAAGCATTAATTAGGAGCTTAATAAATAGAAAAAAAAGTGCTCCCTTTTTGCTTTCTGTGTTACCAACTAGAAGACAGACATCCCTTCTACATACTCTAGGCCAGGGGTGCTCAAGTCCAGTCCTCAAGAGCTACCATCCTGTAACTTTTAGATGAATCTCTTCTCTAACACACCTTGAAAGGCTCAATCCCCTCATTGAGCCAAATAGAGGCATGATAACGAGCCACTCATTTGATTTAGGTGTGTTAAAAATGGGGTGCAACAAAATGTTGCAGGATAGTAGCTCTTGAGGACTGGACTTGAGCACCCCTGCTCTAGGCATTTTCTGAGAACAAAAAAAAAATTCAATTTCTTATTTCTTATTTGATGTTTCTTATATATATATGTATATATGATGATGACAACACCGAAACATGGGCTGCCTTTTCTGTATTTAA